GGAGTGGTACCCCCTGCGCCCGCATCCACGCCCTCTGCTCGAGTGACGTCTCCTTTGAGGATGTCAGGATAGGACACGAAGCGATAGACAAACTTCTGACCGTTCACCTTCTTTATGATGTTCTACAAAACAGAAACACAGCGTGATAATTATGCACGCACACAGCTAGTGCAGTGTGAGACTGTGGTAGTATGTTTCTAAGAAAAAATATAGAGTCAAACCACAGAAAGGCTTTGTGCGTGGGACAGATCCGTCTTTCCTGTCTGTGCGAATCTACTAACCACGAATGCTGCAGCCAAACATACCAGACCAGCCCTGCCCTGCACGCCCACAGGGTCAGCCTGAGACTCAGCCAAACCGCGAGCAGAGTGGGAGACAGACAGCTCTCTCCTTCTCGTCAACATGTCACAGAGCAGTAGGTTTGAAAGGCCCCTCCCCACACTCAAAAATGCATTTGACTCTTATTGTGGACAACCAAGTGTGGTACTTAAAGAGGAAGTGGGAATGATTCGGTGACATTACTACTGCTTTGAAGCCAATCATGGTGCCACATGTGTTACTACGGAAAACTGTTTTCCTATACGTCTGTATATACTCTGGAATGGTTGCTCTTTGATGCAGCTGCCTGGAGGAAACGACCTCCGAGTCTCCAGCTGCTGCTTCAAAACACACAACAGCTGCACACCTGATTTCACACACATCAGAATCGAGCATCATGTGATCAAACTTACAGTACACGTTTTGGAATTTGAGTCTTTATGTAGCTAACATTCCGTCTCCCGGACAACATGCCGGGGAGCATTTTTAAATATTCAACTTTTCAAATTTAAAATTCCCTTCTGCTTCATCTGACTTCAGGGGCTTTTTGAAATTCGAGAAATAGGACAAGAATAGAACAAGTGATTCATCATAGATTAACTGTGCTAATGTCATATACTCCAGCATTATCTTATTTATAAAACAATCATCAGTATCTAGAAAACAAGGCCAGGAGACTGTGCTGCACATTTAGTGGGAAAACTGTTGCTAATCTCTACTAGAGAAATCAGAGATGATCTGAACCTGTATGGCCCTCAGCCCAAGGTGCCATCTATGAAGCTGAATGACGCTACCACGAATAAACTGCAGGTCCTCTAAAGGTCACTTGAACCTGGCTGTAAAAGCGAAGCGATCACCACAGACTCCCAGTTTAAAAGCCTTAACGTGACATCGTGAAAAAACATATTTACATCCCAGTTTAAAAATGGTTTTCCAACTAATGGCTATTTTACTCCTTCACAACAACTGCATGGTAGCTGAGGGGTTTTTTGTTTTTACTTCTCCTGTTTGGTTTACAGTAAGGAGCATGTCAGCTTGGATTGACAGATGTGGTTATGGTTAGGCCTTAACTCTGCTAATTGGAGTCAAAGAACTCCATCGCTTGACCACATTTGAGGGTTTGAGTATGTTAATGGCCTAATTTGATAAATAACGTCCCGCTGTGAGACAAAACCCATTCAATAAGTCTGTGCTTCAATTTCAGTGAAATTCAGTTATTTTATTAGTCTGTTACTTACCGCTGTAGGTCTCTGCATTGCACAGTTTATAAATATGGTCAGCTTTGGCTCCAAAGTGCACATTTCAAAATGAGGAGTCCAAAAACCACAGAGAGTATATAAATCTTTTCAGACTAAGGAAAAAAATTGAGAAATTGCCACAACTGTGTGCTTTGGCTCTTTACCCTCTGCCTCAGTTAGCTTTGAAAGCTAAGTCTGTTTCACTAGTCACTCTTTGTGTTACTTAAGTGGTGTTACCAGTAACAGACCAGTCTCAGATTCAGATTATTACAGTTTCAACTTTCAACTTTCTTGGCTGATTCTGATTTGTTATAACTGCAATCCGCCGATACAGATCTTATTTTTATACACGATTTTCTTTCTCAAACCTATAATAAAATAAAAAACAACTTTTCTTCAATAAAAAGTTTTATTTTCACAACAACAGAAATGATTCAACTTTACAGTTTTCACAAGTTCTCACTTAAACAACTGAAAATAAACTGCTCTCCTGCTGTAAGAGGTACAAACTCTGAAAACAAGTGGCCTGACATATTTTAGCTTACAACACAGAAGCAGGTGCAACAGTTTCGTACAGCAAAACAAATGGCAGTAACTCGTATCACGTTGCAGTATGTTTATAAACTCCTTCGATAAAGAGACTTTTACGCTACTCTCTTTTTCACCTGTCTCTATAATTCTCCTCATAACCACTTTGATCCTTTGCCCGTACTTAGCCTGCTAGCTCGTGACTGGCTATGAGTAGCTTTAGCCCTGTCACTACCCAATCCGTACCGGAAACCCGATTGGTACCCCGCATGCACGAAATGTGTCTACTTCCGGTCGAAGCGTTTTACGATAGTTACGGGTCAGAGTATCTGTTAAGATGTTAAGAATAATAAGTATCTCTTAAAATGTTTC